CTATAGCATCTATAAACCACGCTTCCTTCTAAATGAGCTTTCAAATGAATCAGCGAATCAGAAGGCGCCGAGGCGTGGCGCGCACCAAGGCAGGGGATGTAGTGCAAGCGCATGCTCGAAGCTTTCTAGCACATCCTATGTTCAACATGAATTGCTTTTCCTGGAGGTTACGGGCAGTGAAACCTAAAAAACCCGCGTTTTCAAGAAAATGGCTTGAAGAATGCCCCTCCAAAAAAAAGTCCCAACGGGACTGATTTCACCTTGGGCGAAACGAAAAGATCTACGCATATTTCAGCAACGATCAGGATAAGACGTGCAGAGTCTCAACAGCTTCGCTTTTAGATTCAACATTTTTTGGTGCCAGTGGTTTGCTGCATTATGACGCATTTTTCGAAAATATTAAAAAGGCGCGGTCCCACGTGGCAGACACGCGAAAAATCACATTGTCGCCAATGAGTTGGATTGAATATAGAGAGAGAATGACTTTTTCCTTAGTTTTTTTTTTAGTTTCCTTCCTTGGTTCCGCGCACTTACGCGTGTATCAAAGGGGATCAGCGATAATGAACAGGGCAACTAAAAATTCAGTACCGCCGGACATCTGTCACAAATGCTGGCGACGGAATGCTTCCACTTGGTTCTCGGAGTGCCGTCACTAGAAACTCTTTCTGGCCTTTTGACTTATTGCATTCACATCTCACACTTCTACTGCATCCTATTCTATCGATCGATTTGTCTCTACTCTCCGAAAATCGCACGCTTTACGTCGCCTGATACGTAGCCGCCCAAAGGCGGACTTCTTTCCATGCCCGCCTTTGGCTCCGCGCCACTTACCTTCGATTGTCCATAGAGTGTGGTTTTTGTAAGTTTGTTTCTCTTCGGAAACCGAATCTTCATGCGTGAAACTTTGTGTGTTGTTCTAGTGATCACAACTGACATATTCATGTTGAGAAAGAATGCAAGATTTTTCCGGGAAGGATTCCTTTAAAGCCTTCACAAAAAGAGGCACAAATACATATCTTTTTGACCAGCACAAATCCCCATAGGTGTTCTCTCGTTTCGGAGCATGACTGAGAAAACTGGGGAAGAGAAAGAGCAGAGCAAAACGATCGTTCCAGAATTCGCCGGACGGCGGGATGGACGTGGCACGGCGAATTCCCGGCCGTTCTAGATTCCGGATGGATTTAACGGTTGGAACGACCGTACAACATCACTCCGTTCCCTTGTGAATTCCGCGATAGTCTTGGCTACCGCCATCTAAGTATGTACCACTCTCAAATATACAGTGGCAGTTCTAGATAGGGCGCTGAAGGGGACGTTGTGGTTAGAGCGCCTGCAAAATCCCTTGAACCAGGAGCGCAAAATCAATGGTGAACACCAAGACTCCTTCGGGGTAATATGGCATAGAGCTTGCTATACTACCCTATCATTTGGTCTTTTGTGATAAAATAGCTACAACTTCAAACTCCGCAAAAGAATAAAGAAAAAAAAACGGTGAAGAACCTCGGCATAAACTCTGCTCTCGAAAAGCCCATCCGTTCAACGGAACTTGGTCTTGGGTGAGTGGAAGCTTATGGCCGTAAGCGACACGTAACATTTGTTGCACAATGTCGATTCCAGTGATGCACTCAGTGATAGGATGTTCGACCTGTACTATTGAATATCATTGGGATGACCAGAGAACATGGCAATAGTTCAGACCTGGAGACGTGTGTTCATTTCTAAGAAATAGAAGTTTCTTTTCGAGTCGACCAGGAATTCTACTGTTCCTGCAGAATCATATCCCACAGCTAATGCAAGCTGACATGCTGAAATAAAAGGTAATGAAAAATGAGTTTGACTAACAAACTTTCCAATAAGAAATAGAAACCTTGTTCGCCCATCTTGCGACGCATCTCCGGAATAACGAAACTGCTTGGAGCCTCTTCAATCACCTTTTGATTCCTACGTTGAATAGAGCATTCACGTTCATTTAGCCAAATGGCGTTTCCATGTTTATCACAGAGCACCTTAAAAAAACTAAAATCAGCCACGACAGAAGATCCGATTGCGTATGTTCTGAAACTGTGCTATTTATTCAATCTTTAAGCCGCAGCATACATTCCTGAAAACAGACGAAAACTGTTTACTAGACCAGCTTTTCAGCTGGAACTTAGGTGAATTAATGCAGTCAAGAAAGCTGGATACAAATGTGGAGGCCAAAACTACCGCTAGAGCTTTCCAAGCAAGTTGTGAGTAGCCAAATTGGCATGAAACGCATGCCGGTATAGCGAGCTAATCCGACTGTATCTCCAATCTGAAGTTTTTTCTTTTCTGAAAATTTTGCCTGAAGGGTTAATAGGTGACGTGATACGAATGCGATATTCGTTTCTGACATAGAGGCCGACAGGCGCCACATCTTCTTGCAGCATTTATGACCAATTCGGACCGCTCACAACATTACTGAAAAGTTCACTTGGTTTTGGTCTGCATATTTGTGACCAGTACTCTCAACCCTATCGACATACCCGGGCTTTCATCCGAAACTCTTTGGGGAGTTGGAAGACCTCTCCTGTTGAAACCAAGTTTCAAAATTTAATTGTAGACACCGACCACTCATGACCGTGTCACGCTTTGCGAATCCAGCGAAACTTTAGCGAGAGGATACAAGCGTCAGCGGCTCGAACGATGCACCGACGACTCGACGATAGAAAAACAAAGAAATTTCTTCTCATGCGCACGCTGACAATGTTTAAAACGCTGGTACATCGTTCGAACCGCTGGCGCATCACTAGCACCCCGCGATTCGCAGGATTCGCCAAGTCTGATACCGGTGTCACAGGAATGTTTCGGTACGTGCTGCGCCCGTACAAACGGTTTTGTGCATGTTATGGAGGCACGTTCACAAAACATGAAAATCAAGTTTATTTTCTGAGAAGCCTTAGATGTGAAAAGGAGAGAAATTAATGGCTTGTGTCGAATTTCGCTCGGCACAACATACCCACTGCACTCATTTTAATTTCCTTGTGCTCATATATGCATGAGACCTCACATTGAACAAGCAGCTCTTAATACACAACTAATCCATGATTCCAATGCTATCAAAGGTAGAACTGCAGAAAAAATGCGGTTTTAGAAGGGAATTCCGATACCTTTTTGGGTTTCCAGGCTGTTAACGAAAAATAAGGTTCAGCCATTTTTTGAAGGAGTATTCCACGATAAGGGTAAGGTCGAAGAAGGGGAAACTCACCTAGTGGGAGACAGGCGGACCTCCTAAGGGTGCGGACCGACACGCAATTCGCATCGAAGGATGTGCCCGGCGATCTAGCATGGCCTTCCTCGCAGCGCTATCGGCGCGGTGCGCACCCTCTCGCTGTCTGAGCTTCTGCCGTTTAGCAGAATTAGCGTTGAAGAGTGCGCAGCGATGCGAGCCGTGTCAGTGTGAAAACCCACGGGCAAGGAAGGGGTTCCAATTCTCGGGTTCATAAGCTTTTTTTCGTGCATCACTGACCATCCCTGAATTAAATTCCAATGGGGAGCCTTTTATCGTATTAGGGTGTCCCAAAGTTTTGAAAAATTCAGTCGGTTTATTAAACAAAAATTACTACAACAAAAACGTGAGATCAATAATCAAGATAGTGGCCCTCTTTAGCCACGACGTCCCTCCATCGACTGGGCAGAGCACTGATGCCCTTCTTCCAGAAGGAAGGGGCGTGACGCGATCCATTCATCTACTGCATGCTTGACCTCCTGACGGTTGTTGAATTTTTTCCCTTTGGTGTAGGCCTGCAGGCTTCTGAAAGCATGGTAGTCACAAGGGCTAAGATCAGGTGAATATGGAGGGTGGGGTAGCCAGGTGATACCAAGTCTTTCCAGCTCCTCCGTCGTCGTCCTCGCGTGGTGTGGTCGAGCATTGTCCATCACAATGACAAACTTCCCTTGTAGTCGGTGTGAACTGGGGGCTCGGGACACCATCTCTCGCAGTTGCTCACAGAATACTCTTGCCGTCACGGGTAGGATCTCGTAGTATATGCAGCCGGTGGAGCAAAAGAAGAATATCATCTCCTTTTTGGCGTGGGCGCCTCGCTTTGGAATGGGTTGGGGCTTCACGTCCACTGGTAGCCATTGCAATTTCCTGTGTGGATTTTCATACGATATCCACTTTTCATCCTGAGCGATAATGACTATGTCCACGTCGTCGTTCGCTGGTTGAGAAGTTTCTGGCACACATCGACTCGCACTCGACGCTCGTGTTCAGTAAGGGAGTGGGGGATAACTCCAGGGAGCGCTGCACGAAGGCGACTTCGGCGCAGAATCCTGTGGATGGTGGAACGGGGAGTAGCAGTCGCCCTTTCCATTTCCCTCAGACTTTGAGAAGGATTGCTTCGAGCGGAAGCTAGAACAGTGTCGGTTTAGAGGAACGTGGGCGTCCTCTACGAGCATCTTCGAGGCGAAATCTCCCCTCTAGAGAAGCGAGCGTACCACCTATAGCAGGTGGTAAGGGAGGGCGCACTGCTGCCCATCGACGAACCATAACTCATTCCGGGCTTGAGTGGCGGAGCGACCAGATCGGTAGTAATGAAGCAGAAGGCGCCGGTAGTCGTGTCGGTCGGACATAGTTCAAATGATGATAACTTACTTCCAACGATGAAGCAATACCGTTCTATTGCGGTGACGATCTACCAACAGTGCCCTTTTCCTGCCCTTTGTTTCCGTGGCTCTGCTTTGGCGCATTCTTGCGCAACATGGTTGCGAAATTCATGACCAAAATTTTTCAAAACTTTTGGGACACCCTAATAAAAACTGTCTTTAAGCATTGGGTTTGTACGAAATTTCTATGCCATTTTCGTTTAGTGCCACAAAAATTTCCAGAAGACTTGAACTCGGAGACTTGAAATATAGACAGCGTCGTTGCAGCAGCTTAGTCCAATCTATAGAGACCAGCTCATTGGCATGTTCACTTCCGTGACTGATTTTTTTTCTAGTTATTCTGGAAACTGTTTGATGCCACATTTTTTAAGAGCACCGATTAGTGTCGTCGATGGTTAGGCTGAGCAAAGGCTATCTCAAACGACACTGCACCGCTGTCACACTCTGTTGCGGTTTAGCCTTTCTCGAAGACACACACTTCGGACACCTCATGGCTTTAATTACTAAGGCTATACGTTGAGAAGAAATTAAGACAGGTTAGCTGCCGTCTGGCAGATCGTTTCTTGTAGCGAATGATTATGCCGAAGCATCCCACAACACCCAAAAGATATCAAAAAATTCTGTTTGAATTCCACACCACGATCGGACTTCCCCATATTTCTTTCGGTTTCCCGTCATTGTTCGACAGACTACACATAGCCACCTGTAATAATAAACACAGAGCCACCTGTGATAATAAGAGATT